CCTTTCAACCTCGATCCTTTCAACCTCGATCCTTTCAACCTCGATCCTTTCAACCTCGATCGTCTTCTCTGGCGACTGCCGAATGATATGCTCGATGCTCATGTCACCAGATGACACGATAGCCAGACTACGACAACGACGTTGAGTCAGCATTCTGCAGAACCGCATGTTGGTCATGGGTCAGATACCGACTCCGAAGAGTCAGATGTCCCCAAGAGCAAGAATCTCGTACAGGAAAACAGGAGGCTCTACATGCTACAAGGCGTCAAGGCCAACGCAGTCAAGTTCGACGGACAGGGCCATGCTCATACTAGTGGCCATTCAGAGACAATCCCTTGCCACCTTGACCTGATACCGAGACTACTATCACCCCGTCGCCTTGTCCTTGGACCAACGGTCTCCAGTGCGTATCGAGAGGCTTCGACTACGACAAAACCCTCCGCGGCCGTGATTAAACCTGCACCCTACCGCATTTTCCTCTCACTCCCCGCACATTACGGATGGAAAATGCACCGGCAGGACACGGTTGAGGCATGACGCATGCACCACACGGCTACCACATTCTCTCCGCACGGGTCACTCTCGTTGGTGGGAAATCAACACCGCTGGAATGTCGGACAGTCGCTGATAATCTTGCCCAGCACCGTCCTCGTCTGTGTCGCACAGCTCCCAAACTGCGTTCATGGGCACAACCTCTGGGCTCGAAATCCTCGAACTAGTTAGTCACCCACCCTTGGCCACGGCGGCCCTCCCACGCCCCCTTCTGTGATTATTTCTTCTGAGACTAACGGGCAGGAGGAACAGGCAAAAAGGCCTCGTCCCGGGGCGAGGCTCTTACCACTGCACTTCTCCTCCTCCTCCTCCCCCGGTTGCAGCAATGATCCGTGATTTCGATTGAAAGTTGCTTCGCCAAGGCCGAAATCTGACGTAAGTAACGGAACGGAACCGTGGCTCAGGCTGTGATTGGCCGGTCGTCACAGGAACGATCGGCGTGATTGGAATGTGAAGTTTCAAACATTCAACATTTAAAAACAAGGTCTCACCCAGACAGGACGTTGGTCGCAGAATCATCGATCACACATTTTTTCCTTTGGTGACTCTCTTGTGTGTCACAGCTGAAAGAGAGCTGAACAAAGAAGTGAAGAAATTGGGTTGTCTTTGACACGGCAATCTGCCTACCACACACTAACCTTCAATATTACCGCAACTCCTGATCTCAAGAGCAAACACGCTCAGCACTCATGGCTCCTCCTCGCTCTCCTCGCCGTCCTCAAACTCCCACTCCTCCCTCGCCGACTCCTCCCCCTCCTCCCCCTGCTCCCGCTGCTCCCTCTCCCCGCAGAAGCGCCCGGCTGCAGAAGAAAGGCCAGGCTCCCAAAGCCGGCAGTGGAAATGATGATACAAGGAAGAAACAGCCATCGTCCGCACCATTGACTAGCAAATCTCTTGGAAAACAGGCAAGTCCGAGGATACAAGATATTGAGCTTGACAACTGACGCAGATCAGGCACGTCCAAAAGGCAGTGGCCAGCGAAAGAAGACCAAGAAGACACGAAGATCCCAGACAAAGAAAAAAGGGAAGACCGTACCGGAAGCGGTGACAACTCCCACAGAGGATCCAATAGAGCAACAACGTTCTGGGGGCGTGGCTGACGAGACCAACACTCCTTGTGCGGACGGAGAGCCTTCACCACCAGCCTGCGACGGCGAAGACCAAGACGATTGCGACGCAATTACACACTGGGCCAGAACCAAAAAGTGGCCGAAGAACTTCTCGACCATGGCTCCAGTTACCCGGGCATCCACAAAAAGAAAGCAGGAAGAAAGCTGCCGCACACAGAAGACCAACACAGTTCCAAGAGTGGACAGCCGTGGGTTTGAACGACTTCTTGAGGAAAAAGGGGTTTTTGTCAATGCCCGCGCAGGTAAACCGTTCGTGCATCAGGAGAGTATCGATCTATGCAACAACCTGTTGAAGGGCGATTACCCTAACCCGGTGCGGACGCATCTCCCAGTCGACAAATTCCAAGTCATGATGGACCATATACGGGGCCGCAACAAGAGGCGCATCTTCCGGGATGTCACCCCCTTCCTCGTGCCTTCGCCAGATACACTCTTTTTCTGTGGTGAAGAAAAATTGCGAGACGCCGCAGAAGCGACAAGGGTTTATTGGGGACAATATGACCAAATGGCAGGTCCAAAACCGAGACCGGATATGACCATCGGCCTAGCGAAAACCGCCTTCACTGCCGCGGAGATTAAGAAGTTACGGTTCCTTACCTCCCATGAGACACCGACACTTTTTGCGGGCACCATCTACTTTCCGTTTCTCATCTGCAAAGTCAGGAGAAATGAAACAGCATTGGTCCGAGCTCTACGACAGAGCACAAGAGCCAGTGCCATAGCCGTCACCGCTATCGTTCAGCTGCACCGCCGGGTCTTGGGGAACGACGAAGCTGAAAAGCTCAGCGGCAAGATCCTGGTCTTCTCGGTTTCTCACACATACCATCACGTCACGATACGCGGACACTTTCCTGTCGTTAAAGGAACTGATACTAAGATCTATTGCTATAACGTCTTCCATCTAACCCTGGAGGAAAATCCTGTGACTGACGCCCGAAAGCTGACGTATAACTTTGTACGAAAGATATACGACGATTTCTATCCCAAACATCTGAAGAGCATCACAGACGTTCTTGGAAAGATGAAGGCTATTGAAACGATGTCGATTGCGTCGGATATCAGTGGCGACTTGGATCAGTCAGAAGAGTCACAGCCTGCGCACTCGTCGAGCCTGTCGAGCACGTCGAACCTGTCCAGCTCGTCGTACCTGTCGAGCCCGTCGAACCCGTCAAGTCCGTCGAATCCGTCAAGCCCGTCGAATCCGTCAAGCTCGTGGAACCCGCCAAAGGCAAACACTACACCAAAGTCCGATGGTCCAGCCAGAAAGAAACAAAAGAGAGCACCGGCTGCCGAAGAGGAGCAAACTCAGGCACCGAGGGGTGAGGTAGTTAAGTGGGAACAGAGCGTCATGGACGCGGTCCAGGAGCTCAAGGAGATGATTATGAAGACAACGACGTGCCAGAAGCAGGGCTGAGGAGGCATGTTTCCGCAACCAGGCTGGGTTGGTATTACGCCTGTGTCGCTGCCGACTCTGGGGCCGGTGAGCCATGCCGTGGCATTCATTCTTTACACGGACCAACGGCTGACGGACACAGACACACTCTCTCTTCTTTGGGTTCAGGATTTGCGGATGGACTTGCTCGGTATTGGTTGGAATTGAACGGGTCATTGGCTTTGGGCTGATGGGAGTGTATTGGGTAAGTGTCTGTCTGTCTGTTTGTCTCTCTATGCCGGCTTACGCACTAACACTCCATCATCTTGTCATAGATCTTTCTTTCTTTCCTATTCTATTCTATTCTATTCTAGCTAGCTAGCTAGCCAGCCAACAAGCGCTGTTATCACGATCGACTTGTTTGTTTTGTCGTTTCTCTATACTATCATCCATTGGAGTCAATATCTTCCCACGCACCCTCCATCCTTCCGTCCGTCCGTCCGTCCGTCCGTCCGTTCGTCCGTCTTTGCCAGAGTCCTTTGAAGGTCTTTTGAGTTGCCCTCGGTGCCCTCGGTGCCCTAAACGCCCTTCCCTCTCCGCTCAGTCCCCTCGGACGGCCAGACCCAAGTCCGCACGTACAGCAGAGATCAACGCAAAAGAAATTGAACGGCCGAGTTGATTGCCAGTTGGCAGTTTGTCCTTTTTTTTTCCAAAGTAACCCCCCACCCCCCACCCCCCCTCGTTTGAAGCTCCGTCAAGACGGGGGTTTCTTTCCTTTCGGTGCCCGTGTTTCTTACTTCCTTTTTCACCTGTGCTGGTGGTGCCCGGCTTGCCCCAGTCAGAGTCCAGCCGCTGTGTGTCTGTGTCTTTATCTGTGTGTCTGTGTCTGCCGCACGGCTGGGCAGGGCAGGGTTGGGCTGGGCAGGGCTGGGCAGGACAGGTATGCTATGGCAAGGGCATGAGAGGCAAGGCACGAGAGGCGAGGAAGGACAAGGAAAGACAAGGCATTTCATTCATAACGGCCACTGGCCGCTGGATCCAACTAACCCTAACACATCCATCCATCCATGCTCCATCCATAATCCATCCATGACCCATCCATAATCCATCCATGACCCATCCATAATCCATCCATGACCCATCCATAATCCATCCATGTTCCATCCATGCTCCATCCATGCTCCATTAGCCACAGAGGCCGTCACACATACAGAGGGTTGTCAACATGTCCCCCCTCACGCGGGCGACTGCCGCCGGCGGCCTGCTCGTCAGCCTTGCGTTTCACGCCTCGAGTCTCCGTGCCTCGCGTCAACTCATCCTTGACCATGTCCTTATGCGCCTGCTTGACTACTTCAACTCTCAACTGCAACCGATCCCATTCCCGCTCTCGATCCTCCCGATCACGTTCCTCCCGACGGCGGTAGCGTTCCCATAAGTAGAGGCTATCCTGCCACTTATGCTCGGCCTTTTCGATTGAGTGTTGGAGTCTCACGAGCAACTTGCGGTTGTACTCGGTGACGAGTTTCAGGTCCTCCAGTTCATGCTCCAGCGGGCTCATGGGCCATTTCTGCCGGACTTCTCTGTGGTATCTCAACTCGTCGTCCTCGAGCTCATACTCCCACAACTCGCTGCGCTGCAAGATGGGTCGGATCGGCGGGCCGGACTCGTGGAGCTGTGCGCACATCCTCCAGGCCAGTTGTAGATCGTACTTGGACTTTTTTTCCTCCACACGGCGAATGAGGTCCTTTTGGCGTTCGATCAAGTCCTCCTGTTCATCACGTTTCTGCCGGAGCTGATGAACTTGCCGGGTCTGCTCTGCCACTACTGTGTCATTGACATTCCCATGATTGACATTCCCATGGTTGACATTCCCATGGTTGTCATTCCCATGATTGACATTCCCACCATTGTCATTCTCGCCATTGTCATTCTCGCCATTGTCATCCCCGTCATCGTCGCTCTCGCTAACGTCACTCTCGCTCGATTCATCCACCTCATCGAGCTCTTGCTGGCTGTAGGCCGGGGGGGGTTCACGCTCCGCGGGCGGAATCCACTTTCTCATTCTGACGGGTGCGGCTCGGTCGAGGGGGGGCAGAACGAACTGATCCTGCGTTTCCAAAACAGTAAGCTCATGTCCACGGGACTGGAATGTGAATCCGTATAGTGGCCAACACACCCGATGCTTGACGTTATCCGACATTCTGACTCGAGGCTCGGCCAGGTTTCTCGGAGGCTGCGGTCGACAACGGGGTATTCGGTCTGTGGATGCTTCCTGTGTCAGCACAACGGCGGCTCAGCGTGGAGGACACAAAGGATCCCAACTGCCCTTGAAGTAGATGGGCACGCTGCGTTGTCTGCGCTGTAGTCTGCGCGGTCAGCGATGCGGTGCAGTGTGGTGCTTTGAGGAAGGGAGAGTTGAGGACTGCCTCGACGTGCGGCTGAATATCAAAGAGGAGGTGAGGTGCTTGGCGTCACGTGTCAAAGTGGTGACGACACGAAGCAAAGAGGGGAAGTGAGATTATGTTGGGGGGCTTGGCATCACGTGATATGGAACCACGAAGCGGACAAGGAGATGAGGATACCGACCGAGACGTTGAGGATTGATATGTATATATAGAGAAGGGGTAGGGAGCCCCTCGCATGACGAGCCTGAGGTCCAGGGAGGGAGAATCGTCGAGATATCGATCTCGGGATCAAGGATGGAGAACCCTTCTCGTCGTTGGTGTCGAGGATCGAAAGTCGGAGGAATATCGAGGATCGAAGAGGTGGTGAATCGTCGAGATGTCAATCTCCAGATCGAGGAGGAATTACCCTTTCCCTCGTTAGTGCCAAAGTTCGAAAGGGGAAGGGAAGGGGGCTGTTGAAGATCTCGAGGATCGAGGAGGGAGAGAGCCCTTACCTTGATGGGCCTGAGGACCAGGAGGGAAGTATCATCGAGATATCTATCCCGGGATCAAGGATTGAGAGACCTTTTCTTCGTTAGTGTCGAGGATCCAAGGGGGAAGATCTCGAGGGTCGAACACACAGAGAGCCTTTGTCTTGGCGATATCTCGATGGTTCAAGACCATAGGCTAGATGTATTCACTCAAGGGCGTTGAGAATTGAACAGGTAGAGAGCTCCACCATGGCAGGCCTGAGGAACAGGAGGGCAGAGCTGTCGAGATGTCTCGGGATCCAGGAATGGAAGAAGCCTTTTCTTCGTTGATGCCAAAGATCGACTGGGAAGATCCAAAGGGGAAGATCTCGCGTTGAGGATTGAACAGGTAGAGCCTCTACCACGACGAGCCTTATACTGAGGAGGGCAGAGCTGTCGAGATATCGATCTCGGGATCGAGGATGGAGCACCCTTTTCTCCATCAGTGCCAAAGATCGAAAAGGGGAAAGGGAATACTAACCGAAATCTTGTCGGTGATATCTTGATGGCCAAAGACAAGACGGGGTAAAATATATTTGCCAAAGGCCATTCAGGACTGAAGAGGCAGTGGTCTTGGTTTGGGCGATCCAGTCGAGTACGGGAGTAGAAGGAAGCCCTTTGTGTGCGCGTCTTGCAGTCTGAATTCTGACCTTCTCGTTTGGATCGAATCGAGATTTCCCTCAGGGTTGAGGAATGGAGGTGATACCCTAAGAGCCTCGAAGGTGATAGGGATCATGATGTTTCTATTGTGAAATTTGGTGTTGGTTTCATTCGATTCGCTATCGGGTGCGGAAGTGGAAGCCCTTTATATGGGCGTTTCGCGGTCTGAATTTGACCTTCTCGCTTGGATCGAGTAGTCGAGGTCTTCCTCCGGGTTGAAGAATGAAGGTGATACCCTCCTCGAAGGTAATAGTTTGGTCGATCTAGTCAGGTACGGGAGTGGAAGCCCTTCGTGTGGGCGTTTTACGGCCTGAAATTTGACCTTCTCGTTCGGATCGAGTCGAGTCGAGGTCTTCCTCAGGGTTGAGGAACGGAGGCGATACCTCGAAGGTAATAGGTATAATATTCCGATCGTGAAATTTGGTGTCGGTTTCGTCGATCCACTGTCGGGTACGGGAGAAGAAGCCCTTTATATAGGCGTCTTACGGTCTGGATTTTGACCTTCTCGTTTAGATCGAGTCGAGATTGTTGAACTTCTCGCTTAGATCGAGTCGAGGTCTTCCTCTGGGTTGAGGAATGAAGGTCGATCCACTGTCGGGTACGGAAGTCGAAGATGCCTTTCGTGTGGGCGTTTCGCGGCCTGAAATTTGACCTTCTCGCTCGGATCGAGTCGAGGTCTTCCTCCGGGGAGAAGAAGCCCTTCGTGTGGGCGTTTCGCGGCCTGAAATTTGACCTTCTCGTTTGGATCGACCCGAGTCGAGGTCTTCCTCCGGGTCGAAGAATGAACCACGACGGACGGCTTTCGTGTCTGGAAGCCGTGTCGGGGCTCCCAGAGATGCCACCGGTATGTATATAAGAATATATATATATAGGTTGCTAGCCAACTAGTACGTAGCAGCTAGAGGAGGTGTACCACTTTCTGTGTCTGTGTCTCACTTGGTAATTGTCCGAGGGCGGTGGACAAGGCCCCCTCTGAGAGAGAGGGTCTCGAGTTGTCTCTCTCGGAGGAGGAGGAAAGGGATGGTGAGTGTTGAAAAAAGAAAAATCTCATCGAGGGTCGAAGGGGAGATATAAATAATGTTTGAAGATTCCAAAAAAGGAGAACGAGGACCGTCATGGGTTCTTGGTGACAGTCACAAGCAGGGGAAGCGGAACAATAAGGAGAAGTAGCACAATAGGCAGAACAATAGGCAGAATGAGAGGGAGAATGGGAAGCAGAATAAGAAGATGGACAGAAGCAGAGCGTGAAGCAGAGCGTGAAGCAGAATGGGAAGCAGAACAATGAGTAGAACAATAGGAAGAATATGAAGCAGAATGTGAAGCAGAATGTGAAGCAGAATGTGAAGCAGAATGAGAAGTAGAACAATAGGCAGGATGAGAAGCAGAACGTCAAGAAGAACGTGAAGAAGAACGTCAAGCAGAGGAAGAAGCGGAATGCAGAGTTGCAGCGATGCAGTAATGTATTATTGTGTACAGCAGTGTTGTGCTACAGCAATGTCAGTCTAAGAGACGACTAAGAATGCTTTCTATCGAATATTAATACCGCCTTGTCATAGGAACCAGTGCTTTTTTCTTTACTTCTCCTGTTGTCTGTCCACCATACCATGTTCTCATAACGATACCTTGTCAACGTGCTTTTGTAGGTGTTGATGCGAAGCGAGATTGTGATGATCAAGTGTCGACGTGAAGCGAAGTTGTGCTGATTAGGTGTCGACGTCAAGGGAGGAGGTTGTGGTATTCAGAGTGCGGATTTGGCCACCGCGACAGCCTTCAGGGCCCCTTCTTTGGTCCGCATCATCGTTGTCAACCACATCATGGCTTTCTCGACAATCAAGTCCCAGACCTCCTCCTCTTCTGGCACTTTGAGCTTCAACCAGGCAACCGACAACGCCGTAGCGCGAATACCATCTTGGTCCATACCATACAACCGGAGAGCTCGATAGCGACTCTCAGTCAACCCCAGGAGGGCGACAAGGTCTCCAGAATGATGCCACGCACCATTGTACTCAACCAAGATGAGGACTTGGTACATTTTCCCGGTATCGTCATAGGAAAGCCACCCGGCGTGAGGACCGCGGGGCTGGACTGCATCTCGAGCTGGTGGAACGACGCTTCCAAACAGGCTGGCACGGCGGGCATTTTCAGGGACCGGGGTACCGATAGCTCCAAACACGCTTCCATTGTTGTCACTGGTGTAGTCGGGCGTGCTCAATCCGAACATGCTCAGACGACGAGGATTGTAGGCAGGAATGAAGGAACTGACCGTATCGCTTCTTCGGAGAGGTACAGCCGCTGGATTGAAGCTGAGTGGTGGCGAGGGCGGGGTAGGTTCTCTGGCCGGGTACAATTGCACATTGCTGCCGGGTGAGGTCACCACGATCGCAGGGAGGGCGGTGGTGCTAGCCGACGCTGCAGAGGTCGTGGCCTCTTCAGTGTTTGGACGTGGTTCGTCCATAGTTTCGACTGCCACGAAGGAGGACCACTGGCCGCCGACTTGGTACAGGACTCCCAAGCGAACGGCCTCACGTTCGACCATGAGAGAGAACACGTTCTTGTAGACCGACTTCATCAGCTGGCCATCTGGTGTCTTTGCGTCGGTGAGCCATCCAAACTCGTCTTCCAGCTCGCCAACGGCCTTCATGGCGGCCAGTTTGTGGATTGTTGTACCCACGCCAATGTCTTGGACAGGGAATTCCATAATAAGAGGACCATTGATAGTGGTGCCGCGAAACACAACAGACTTTGGGGTCTTCTTAGATGCTCCGGGAGAGAGCAATAGATAGACAGTGGTGGGATTGTTGGGGTACAACGCTGGCATGCCGTGGGGGGCTTGGATGTAATCGGGCAAGGGGACCGATGGCAAGTTGTCGTAACGCCCCTCGGGGGGGTTTGGTGGAGCTTCAGTGGAATTGAGATCAATCAGAGGAATGGAGTTCTCCGGCATCAATCCCCGGGTGAGAGTGTTGTTCTGCAGCTCAATCGCCCTAGAGTCTTCCTCAAAACCGGCGTCGTCGTCGGCATATTTGAACTCAAAGCCATAGCCAGTGACATGAGGCGTCAAGGCCCCTTTCAACATGCGGAGGATGGCTTTGTCCATCTTGTCGTGTGAAGAAACGAACTGACTAAAGCCCCCACCGGCATTGGCGATGCCGTCGATGAGGGAGGTCGAAACAGTGGGACCGATGCCCAAAGAAAAGAAACGGGCGTTGGGTGTCTCCTTGATGATGTTGAAAAGGCGTTGGTGACTCCAGAGGTCACCGTCGGTGAGGATCAAGATTTCCAGAGGAAGTTCGGGGTCAAGACGTCGGCCAATGGTTGCTTGGACTGGATAGATCAAATCAGACCCGCCATATCTGGCATCGAGGGAATCCAGATGGTTCCTAGCGCCATCCAGACTGAATTGGTCGTAGGTGACACTCTTCTGGAAGAAGAATGAGAAGTACGTGCCAAAGGAGCAAATATTGAATTTGACTCCGACGGGAAGTGACTTGACAAAGACGTGCATGGCGGATCTCAACAATGCCATCTTGTTCTGCATGCTTCCGCTTCTATCAACTATGAAGACAATCTCGGGTGAGATTCTGGGGAGCTGCTGTTTGGGCTCCAGCGTGACCATGACTGCACGTTGATTGGGGATGGTTGGGTGAGTTTCGACCATAGCACGAGGAATTGCAGTGTCCTGGGCCTGAATGAGAAAGACCAAATCATGGTCGAGTGTAGGGGTACCCAAAACCAACGTGGCCGAGGCGGTATGACTCTTGAATGAGTCTTGGTCCATTCGAGAAGTGCGTCCAAGGGTGACTTGAATTGGATGGCTTGGAGATTGAATTCCAGTGATGACCGACCCTTCGTCATGAGTGACATCGATGCAGACGTCAATCAAACCATTGCGGGTGATGTTGGGAAAGGCCATGGCAGACTCGGTGCACAAATATCCATAACGAGGAGCCACAAAGCTTGGGAGAGTAAACTGGGCTTCACCAGTCTCAGCGTGGTGCTCGAGGTCGTTGACATATCTCAGGACAACATGAATCTCTTGAAGAGCCTCAACACTGCCAAGAGAGGTGGTAAAGACATCAGGGTCATTGATCATCCGCTCAAGGACGACTGCATATCTGCCCCGGGCCATAGTCTCCTGGTATTCAGCGTTGGCTTCACCTCTTGCTTTGACATTGCCAACAATGGTCTTGGTCCCAATGGTGCATTGAAAGTGAACGATCTTGATGCCGTCGTTGAGAGGAAAGGTGTAGAGGACCCGATCAAGCTTGGTATTCTTGTAGTTGACGAAGCTCTGTCTGAGGGTCGTGCAGGAAATACGGCTGTAGATGGTGCTGTGGGCGGACAGCTTGGATTGCGGGAGATATTTGCCACGCCCCTCGTCATCGTCAACAAAGTAGATTCCACCGAGACGGCCTTGATTGCCGACATAGGAGGGCCACCCTACATAAGGGATGTACAGCGACATCTTGCAAGACGTTTGATTGAGAATGAGAATGAAACTGTGTGAGAATGAGGATTGTAAGAGTGTCTGTGTTGGAATGAATGCGGTTGTGTGAGACTGAGAGGTACGAGAATTGTTTGAGGATGGAAGAAGAGAAGCTGAAAAAGAGGCAGTTAAACTGATGGTGGGAATTGGATTTGGTCGCAGGCAGTCAGCCAACTGCGAAGGCAGTTGAGTGGCAGGTAGAGACGGAAGGTGGTCAGGTTGAACGAGGCAGGAAGGTAAATTTTGTAACAAAGCAGTTGTGAAAGGGTGGTGCCCACAAACGAGTGAAGTGAATACAAGGCAAGAAGAAGTGAGAACAAACGAGAATGCGATGTGGAAGTGGAAGTGAAAGTGAAGTGAAGTGAAGGTAGACACGTCTTTGGTTTGTTTTGTTTTATTTTTTTAATTTTTGTTGGAAGGAGGTGGGCAGGGAGGGGGGGGGGTGGTAGGAGGGGCTTTTTCAATGGAAAGACAAGGCAAAGCGCGTCATTCAATCACAGCCTAGCTACGCGTAGGCGTGGGACCCTCCAGTTCCCTCTTTGGAGTGCATGCTTGCACTCCAGGGCAGCTAGAGCTGCAATTCACGGCTGCTTCACGGCTCTTCGACGAGTGCGAGTGGTTGTCCTTTGGGTCTAGTCACTAGCGCGTATTTAATCATCTGGAACCCAATCAGGGAGGTCAGTGACAGGGAGCTTCCAGGGCCATTGAGAGAGAAAAACGATCTGATCGAGGAGAGGGGGAAGCCACCAAACAGTTTGCTGGGTTATGGCTCAGGGCTCATGGGGGTACACCGAAGCCTGAACTAGCACACTACTAGGTAGGGATGTGTCCGAGCTGTGTTGAGCGGGAGCAGCTATTTAGCTCTATAATGCCTGTGATGCAAGTAGAACGTGCAGCCGATAGATGGCCATCTCTCCTTTCACGTCCATCATGTTGCTCAAAAAACCTATATCCACGATACGAATGCTTGAAGATCTCCCTCTCTCTCCAGAAATGGACGTGTAGTCCGGTCCCCCAGACCTCCGAAGTCATGGCCGATGGCCGATGGCCGATACCCAGTGTCCATCTGCTGGTAGATACCCTCTATTCTACGAGTGTGAGTTGAACAAGACAGAGCACGAGAAAAAGAAAGACAGCTGAACCGGGATGAATGAACGGACATGAATGAAAGGATATATAAGGATGGATAAATGATATCAATTAGATGGTCAGATATGGCAAAAGTCCCTATATTTTCCATCAAGAGTTTCTGGTCAATCATTAATTCGTAGTGACACACCAGGGGGGAGCGGGGGGAAGGCCACGGACCTGATAAAAGCCCCTTTTGGCATTGTCAGTATCAGTGTCAGTGCCATGCCATGTGCTTTGGAGGGTCACTACGAGGTCCATAATTGACGTCTGTTCGGAGAATTTTCTTCGGTTAAAGTCATCTCCACCCCCGAGAGTCGCTTAACGTGCACGAGCATCAGTGCCCCCAAAAGCGTGGGTGGTTCAAGTCCGACTATCTGCAGGGAGGCGGTGCTTGGTGGTGGGTGGGTGGGCTACTATATACATATTAGCTGCAGGTCAACCTCAGCCACCTAAAGCTATGGGCAGCTGGGTAGCTGATAGCTAGTAGATAGTAGCTAGTAAGTCGTACGTAGTTCCCCCCTTCCTCCTCCCTCCTCTCCGGCAGCTTTACTTGTGACGCCCATTGCCCACTACGTCACATTAGGCACTGCTAACCCCGTCAATCATAAACAAATACTAACAAAAGAGCGAGTTGCGACTCACACGAGGAGGATTCTACTCGGTACTAGACTGCCAATCCCTTGAAATGAGTCGTTGTTTGTGTGGGAATGCCTCCAGACGGCCAAGGCTGGGAGTGACGCAGGCAGGGCCGCAAGTTCGTACAACAGCCAAGTTCGTACGAGAGCCAAGCTCGCTTAATTATCCCTGACGGGAAAAGTGACTATTTCCACCAATCGGGAATAAGAGTGCCAAGAAATGCAGCTCAACGTCCATCGAACAGACAACTGCGATATCAGAAGGCACTGCGAGACAAGAACAAGTTATCCTACACAGGCACCACCACAGGAACATCGAGGGACTTCGACTCCTACCACAATCGTACAGGAAGAGGTGGAATATGTGCCACGGCCCCCTCCATCCGCCATCGGATTCGCCTTGTCCAGACACATCTCCCCCGAGGGATATACCTCCACAACCACGGCCGCGCCGTAGTCCTTCGCCCGAGACGACTCCCCAGCTTGCCCTGCCGCTGTCAATAGTGCCGCCTGCGTGTGGCAGAAGCGAACGAGTCCGCAAGCGAACGACGAGGCTGGCGCAGGCAAAGGCAACGATGGTCCCTGCCAGAGTCACAGAATGACTGGATCTCTGAGTGATCGACACCCCCAGGTTGGCTGTATATACAAACAGGCGGGCGAAGAGGTCAGACAACGGCGAGGCCGGTACTAGATAGACGTATGGTCAATAGAAAATGAATGCCAGCTAAATTTGGTGGTGGTTTAGTAGATTCTCCCCGAACATCAAGCGAACTTGCTGTTTGTTGTACGTATCTGCTGTAGGAATCGCTGTCCGGAGAGCATTCCCTGTTGTTTTGATCCTCCGACGCTGCCGTGCCCTCCATATCTACGGCATGGTTTAGCGAAAGAAGCATTGGAGACATCGGTGGAGTCGTGTGGTGACGACTGGTCGCATATTCGATCTTCCCTTCCCGCCCCTTCCGCATTTCCGCCCGTCTTGGAGAAGAGTCTCCTCATTTGGAGAAATCCGTTGGTGTCTGCATGGATACGAATTGCACTAATCCCATGGTCGTATGGTGTGAGGGTGGCCTTGTTTCCCCCGCTTTTGCGGTTGTGCGAGTTTACCGAATAGCCGAATACCCGACGGTTCCGCACGCGAGGTAGAAGATATACATATATCAATGGCTAGACTGGCTCCTTTCCCCTCAGTAGACAGAAACCTCTTGATCATCTCTTGGCCGCACTAACGCAAACCCCAACAACAAACAAAAGCAAAAAGCCAAGGAATAGACACTGTCGATAGCAGCAATGGTCGTCGCAATCGTTACCGGGTCGTCGAGAGGAATCGGGCGGGCAATTGCCCTGCAACTCGCTGATGATGGCATGGATGTTGCTGTAAGTTAGAGTCAGAGACAACACACTCACACACACACAGGTAGAGAGAGGGGGGGAGAAGAGAGACTGAGAGAGACTGAGAGAGACTGAGAGAGACTGAGAGAGACTGAGAGAGACTGAGAGAAACTGAGAGAGACTGAGAGAGACTGAGAGGAAGAGAGAGAGAGAGAAAGACTGCATCCCCTTCTTCTACTCCCCTTTGATCAGCCTCATATTCCACTCCCCATGCTGAAGCGGCAGAGAGATAGGGAGAGACAGAGATTGCATCCCCGACCATGGCCTCCTCTACTCTCCCTTGATCGGCACCATGTCCCCCTCCCTCCCCATGCTGATATTCTTCTTCCCCTTCACAGTTGAACGACATCGAGGCTCAGCTTCCGCAACTGCAAGCCGTCAAGGCCGAGATTGAGCAAAAGGGTGAGCATATGAACATACCCCAGCACTGGACACACGTCCATAACTGACTCGGGTATGGATGGCTGCCTGCAGGACGCAAGACATCCACATTTGTCGCCGATGTCAGTAACGAAGACCAGGTCGAGAAGATGGTGGCCGACGTGGTGACCGAGTTTGGCGAGCTGAATGTCAGTCTCACACCCCGTCCCCGATCGCTGCTTTGGACTCTGATTCTTTTCAGGTCATGGTCGCCAATGCCGGGGTGCTCGTGCCAAAGTCGATCATGGAAGTCAGTGTGGCGGAATGGGACAGGGTTCAATCGGTAAGCAGCAGCACGACCCCTGACAGCCTTGTGTTCCCCTATACCCTTGTGTAGCCCTACCGCCTTGTGTCCTCCTATACCCTTGCGTCCCCCTACCGTCTTGTGCCCCCTTCCCTCCTTGTGTCCCCCTACCCCCTTGTGCCCCCTTACCGTCTTGTGTTCTCCTATCCCTTGTGTCCTCCTATCCCTTGTGTCCTCCTATCCCTTGTGTTCTTCTATCCCTTGTGTTCTCCTATCCCTTGTGTTCTCCTATCCCTTGTATCCCCCTTACCGCCTTGCGTCCCCCTTGACAGCCTCGTGTCCCCCTATAGCTCGTGTGTTCCCCTACCCTCTTGTGTCTCATCTGCCCAAATCTCCCCTCTAACCACGCAACGCCGGCCAGATCAACGTTAGAGGAGTCTTCTTGTGCTATCGAGCCGCTGGTAAGATTGATTCTCCTTCCGAGTCGAAATGCAAGTTGCTTGGTCTTTGAGACGACCTCAGAGTCCTTCCGAGTCGAGAGCGGATGTTTCTTGGTCTTGGGAAAGACGACGGAGTCCTTCGAGTCGAGAACGGATGCTTCTTGGTCTTTGAGACTGTCAGACAGAGTGCTGAACCATGAATTCTGTACAGCCAAGCAGATGATCAAACAAGGAAAAGGTGGAAAGATGGTGGCGGCTTGTTCGACGGCGGGCTATCGACCGGTAAGAGGGGTCCCCGTGTCTGGTGTCATCAGTCCCTGTCTCTGCGGTTATGAAAAGGGGACAATCACACCCTGTGTCTGGTATCACCAAAAAGGGACAATGAAGCCCTGCTGACTCGATCTTCTGGCACCCCAGACTTCAGGCCACAGCGTTGCATACTCGACGAGCAAGTGGGCTGTCCGGGGACTGACGCAGTCGGCCGCTCTGGAGTTTGCCAAATACGACATCAACGTGAGTCGGTGCCGCTTCCACGAAAACAAAGCAAGACAATGGGAGACTGACCACTTGCCATCCATACCCAACAGGTGAACGGTGCGTTAGACCAGACCACGACTCTCTCAGCCTTGACCGTTTTGCTAACCAATACTCTCCGTCAAAACAGCATATTGCCCAGGCCCTGTCGATACAGATGTGAGAACTCCAGTACTTTCCGAGCTGGTCTGCGCAGAAAAGGTCTAAACTCACCTCGTTGTTTTGTTTAGATGTGGAAGCAGATCGATGCCAGCATTGCGGAACGTGAAGGCCTCGAACCGGGGGTGGCGTTTAAGAGATCGATCGAGTCTCGGACGGCACTCAAGCGCGCACAGGTATGTGGGAGGTCAAGTCTTCCTCGGGGGTCCTTGTTTGTTCTCTTGGAAAGATGCCTCCTTGTTCTCTTCGACTTGTTCCTAGAAAGATGCCTCCTCTTCTGCTTGACTTGTTCTTGGAGAGATGTCTCCTCTTCTATTTGACTTGTGTCCGGAAGATGCCTCCTTGTTCTCTTGGAAAGATGCTTCCTTTCTTGTTTGACTTTTTTCCGGAAAGATGCCTCCTCTTCCCTTGGATTTGTTCTCTTGGAGAGATGCCTCCTTTTCTCTTCGACTTGTTCCCTGAAGAATGCCTCCTCTTCTGTCCGACTTGTTTCTTGCCCCAAAAGCAATTTGAACATGTGGCTGACTTGGTATATCCATCATTCCGTACCGGCGATCTAGGAACCCGCAGATATCGCCAACTTGGTCAGTTTCCTGGTCAGCAACAAGGCGAGGAACATTACCGGGCAGAGCGTCCTGTGTGACGGAGGTGAGATCAGCCAGCCAGCCTGCCAGCATCGATCATTCCCCATCTTCAGCCTACTGTATCTTGTGCCCATCTGTCTTGTGCCCATCTGTCTTGTGCCCATCTGTCTTGTGTTCTTGTCTCCAAAGACGTTCCCAGGCTAATCTTGGACGGAGCAGGGATCGCATTCTCCTGATCCAGGCCCGGATCCATGACACTCCAGACGCAAGGAGGGAGGGACGCAAGGAGGGAGGGACGCAAGGAGGGAGGGACGCAAGGAGAGAGGGACGCAGCGAAGGAGGGAGGTAGGCGTCGGAGCTGAGATGGTGTAGCGTGCTGGACTTGGAATGTAGGAGAGATTGCATTCTCCCGATCCAGGCCTGGATCCATGACACTCGGGAGACCGGGAGGGACGCATCTAGGGAGGTATGCAGCGAGGGAGGTCGGCAGTAAGGGAGGTATGCAGCGAGGGAGGTATGCAGCGGAGCTGAGATGGCGTGGCGTGGCGTGGCGTGATGGACTTGAGGATCGTAAGAGAGATTCCATCGTTGGTGTATGAAACATGCTGCTTCTATCGGTTGAGGGGGGCAGCATTTCGAAAGGAGATGGGGAGTGCCAGCTGGCATTTATGTCCTTGTCATATTGTCTTCTTGTCTTCCTGTCTTGTCGGCGGCTTGCACCGTGCACCGAGCACCGTGCACCGTGCACCGTGCACCGTGCGGCCGCAGAATGAATGCTGTGAGGTGTCTCGGAAGGATACGAAAACCATACATGTATGGGCCGTGGCCACGACATGGAGGGTTTGTCAGTGAATGTGAGAAAATGGACGAGGGATCCGGCCTTTGGGGAGCATGAGCAGAGATCCAGCCGGCCGACACAAGACGATGTGAGATATCAAAGATAGAGCCCCGATGGTCGTTACTGGCGGCGATATATGCCCTCATTTCAATGGGTCTTTCACGGCTCGAGAAGAGAACCGCGATACTGGTCTGAAAACGCTCGGCTTGTAGGCTGGCCCTTTTGGAGGGTCAAAATGGGCCTCGGACCAGGTTGTGGGTGGCAACTCTGATGCATACATACATACAGTAGGTCCCAACTGAGGGGCGGTGCGGTTTGTAACTCGGTGAGCTATGCGCTGCTGAGCAACATGAAGCATGCCTGGTACATGAGGCGAGCCAAGGCACATCAAACACCAGCCAAAAGTTTTCTCTTGCTGCATCTGTGGTTCAGCAGAGACTTTGGTCTTGACCAACTGATTGATTGATTTCTGCATCGTTGGCCGGGGTGGTCTATATTGCTTCGACCTCTCCCCATTCGTCGTCGGTGATTCCCGTTGTTCTATCTTCCGAGTTCCCCATTCGTATGAGGCATTCTGTGAGTCAAGCTCCCAGAGGGGTAGAATTTAACTCCAGTAGCTGGGTGGGATGTTAATGTCTTGTGTTGTAGTTCCGGACTGAGCTCTCTACCCGCTTGATATCTCTAGGCGTGTTCCCTCACCATCCGTCGGAGTACATCTTGTTCTGGCTGTGAGAGAGAGGTCTGTTGCTAGTGCAGTCTCTCATCATTGTGTTGTATCTTTCTCCGTAGTGGCAACATTCACGATCGGCTATGCTGAGGTAGCGGGGTCGTAGGCAGGAGCAGCATGATTAATTTATCGATTGATTGATTGCATCCATGTTGTGGGTGGGTGAGAAGAGAAGCCACCACGGACCCGAACCCGGGGATGTGTTACCGTATGTATCTGGAAGACTGCGCAATCGTCCCATTCGCCAGCGTGAATAGATACCCTGACGTTCAACGTGGGAGTCTGTGTCCACAGAGTGTATGTTTATCGCCCCAATCAATCGTCGTTCGAACGACCAACAATCTCAGCCATTTGAAGCATGTTTTCCAGAATAAGAATAGATATACCCCAGGACCTCATTCCTGCCCAGATATCCATCTCGCTGACACTCTGGGTTCCCGAGGTCGACGCAGAAAGGCGGCCGTGTGGAACTCGGAGTGGACGGTGTCGATCTGGACCTTTGAGAGACTGTCGACGTCGAACTCGATAAAGCCGTGGACGCGGTATGTAGTCGCTGCCGATGCCGATGCCGTAGGCGCACGGTTGCAGCGCCGGAAGATCTGATCGCACGTGTAGGCCGCCTGGTCGAGAGGGTCTCGACGGTCAGTCAGCAAGGGAGGCGTACGTCACTGACAGCGACTGCGAGGCGATAAAGGCCTCGAGGGAAGGGTAGGCAGGCGGCTGAGCTGAACTGTACTGTATCCATACACACACAATGGAGAGAAGTGGTCAGTGATGGATGGGTCTTGATATGACATCAATCAAGGTGGGAAAGAAGAGGATTGTACCGAGTAGAACTTACATCGCGCAGCCCCAGCGTGTTGATCGAGTCGCTCGACACCTCAAACTTGTCTGACTGACAGGATCGCGTTGTCTACTCTCACTAGCAAGATCGTTGTCCTCTTCACCCGGTTCCCCTCCTCTTTTTGTGCCGACCCCGAGGCCACCGACCGGCGCGAGGAATCCCTCTGGAATTTCTTTGCCCTCGTGGACTAGTAGAAGTATAGTGTCGCGAGCCGCCTGTCTGTTCCTCGGTCGTGCTGCAGTAGCCGGCACAAACGTGTTTCTTTCCCTCACTCGATCGATCGATCCAGGGCTTCACCACGGCGCAGGCCAACAGAGTCCGGCTGTGGCGAAGACAAATATAACGACGACGGTTTTCGTCTTTGAGAGGGTCTCGTTGGCTGTGGGATTGAAGTCGTCGCCGCCGGGGTACCGCAGGAGGTACATAGGTATACAGTATCTCTTGACCAGCAAGTGGTTCATGTACTCGATCGGGGTCAATCCGACGGAATGGAATTGGCGTTGGAACGGTGCCATCTCAGAGTGAACCCTGTTGGGAAAATTAGCCGAATAATTTCCATCTGCGGCAACTCCTAGATCCGAAGGTCACGCTAGATGGATTTCTTACTAATCAAGCCAGCACCCAGCGAGCCAGATGACAACATAAGTGGCACAGCCAAATGGCCACCTAACCAAATGGATGCCGCAGATGCCGCAACCACTCTCAATTATGCCTACCACTAGTAATTTAAGCTGTCGAGAACATCGCCTAGAACCGAATCCTGCCAGGTTTCCTACCTAGCACTCCGTGACATCTCCGTCTCTGAGCGCTAGGCTATTCATTCGATCAACCATGCTGTCGATATACCTGTTGATTGTCTCCTGCGGAATGTCCTGCCAGGCTTGATTGATCGCCTGAACAAGGCTACTGTCGTCAAAATGATCGATTGACTTGATCCTCTGTTTTTGCGCTCTCCAGATGTTCTCAATTGGCGATAGATCTGGCGATCCTGAGGCATCAAGGAAGTAGTCAGGACCGATCTCTTCCTTGGATCGGCGGACAGAGGAATCCTTGCCTACTCCGTGAGCTGAGTCTTGATCCTCCTCAAGGACGAAGTTCTCGCCGTTCTCGATCCATCTCTTTACTTCATTGAGGACTTGATCGATATAGACAACGCTAGTCATCTTGCCGTTTGACGAACTAGTCTCGTAGAAGATCAATCTGGACTTGAAATTATAGCCAACTGCCGCCCATATGTACCAGCGCTTTTCGTTCTTGTACTTCGCAGTCTTGTCGTTGAAGGTCTTCGGTATACAATCGCGATGGTATTGCTCTCCTGGCCTTGGAATAATGCGTAATTTACGCTGTGGACCGCGGCCAAAATGGCATTCATCTGAAAAGCGAACTCTTCGCCATTGACCTAGCGGCCAATGCCGTCGAATGGCTAGGTATTCACGGCGTTCTTTAATCGATTTGGCCGTCAGAAAAGGCTTCTGGCAGGCAATGCATTTATGGTAACCTCGCGAGTGAAAGGCCCTTTGAATAGTTCGCTCAGATGGCCGGTCGCGATCTGGAAAGACCTCCTGGAAGACCTCAAGCCGGGTACAAACGCGGTGGTCAAATCCACCCTGTAGGACCCAGTCTTCGATGGCTTTAAAGTCGCTGTCGCTGAGGAGAGATCTTCTGCCACGATTCTCTTTCTGATAGGGCGAGTTATGATGCCTTCGAGGCTCTTGAGATGCTGCAATATAGCGATATCCAGTACGTGGATGAACGTGACAGAACTTGAAGATATCCCGTTGACTAACATCGAGGCCCTTTAACTGGCAGAATTGCGTCAACGTCCGCACCTTTTCTTTCACTGGTGTTGGATCCTGAGCACTCTCTGAGGCCTCCTCTTCCTCTCCAGGTGTTACTGGACGAATTGGTGGAGGAACGTGACAGAACTTGAAGATATCCTGTTGACTAATATCGAGGCCCTTTAACTGGCAGAATTGCGTCAACGTCCGCACCTTTTCTTTCACTGTTGTTGGATTCTGAGCACTCTCTGAGGCCTCCTCTTCCTCTCTAGGTGTTACTGGACGAATTGCAACCATTTTGGTAGAGTAATTGAGGTAGGAAGGTGGTGGGTTGGTGGTGGTTGTGGAAGCGCAAATAGTTGGCAACTGCCTAGTAGTTAGCAACTAGTAGGTAGGTGGCGTAAGGTAACGCTGTACCACTAATTTTGTCACCTGGCTCGCCAGTCCCTGTCAGAATTCCGTCCCCAGTGAGGCAGGAAATCCGGGCAGGATACCCTAATAGTGTTGTCCCCCCTTGGATGCCCAGCCGGGTGCCCATTCGCCAACAGTGGCACTCACTGAGCCAGCCATTCGTATCCTGAGGTTGGGCTTCAACGCCGCCACCGCCTGTGGGCCACTCACTGATCCTGGTGCGGTTGCCAACACATCATAGTGATGGCCGTTCTCGTTGCCCTGGTTGGTTGCATCATGTCAGGTCTGAAACGTTGCTGTACGTAAAATGGCATGTGGACAGCACCAAGGGAGGGCCCAGAGGAGGCACGAAAAGGGGGGGTCCGAACACATGTGATGACATTTGAATCCCGAGGTGGCACTTGAACACCGAGATGACTGGGGTGCCCAAGGGGGAGAGAGAGCCAATGAATCAAGACTCCATTTCGAATACCACGTACAGCACATTGATTGGCCCAGCCACCAACCATGGGCGGTTAGACGTGTCAATCATCGTGATCGGGCGCACAAGATCAGCGGACCTTTGGCGTGAATCAATAGCTCGCAAGGGGTTCGTAAAAAAGTCCTTGCAGCCCAAGATCACGAATGGAGAAAAGATCGACACATCAGGTGGTATCTGACAATCGGGCGGGGGGCCTGAACAGTGAGGGAGGGAGGGCCAGAACAGTCGAAGCCCGAGCCAAGTCCCGGATGTTGCCGGATTTTAGTGCAAAAGGGAGGGAGAGCTGTCGCTACAGGCTGAAACGTGGTCGGTGGAATGTGCCAATACATTCTCACACTGCAAGGGAGGATGACATTCCAGACTCCTGGCTGCTTGATTGGTGGAATGTGCCAATACATTCTCACACTGTAAGGGAGGATGACATTCCTGGCTCCTGGTTGCTTGATTCGTGGAATTGCCAATACATTCCGACACTGTGAGGGATGACATTCCTGGCTGCTGGGTGCTTGGTTGGTTGGTATCTCCGACACTAGTGTTTGACAGCCCCCTTTTCTTTGGTCCTTTGGCAAGACGCCCCAGGACCATTGATCAGAAGACACACACACACAACCAAGAAAGACAATTGGCCGTCAGGACATGAATCCACTGGATCTGATCAAGTCATTCATGGTTGTGTTGTTATTGCTGTGGGATAGGATAGCCGTGGTACCCCAACACCATGCCCATCGCCGGACGAGTTGATGCCCCTGGCTGAGAGCCTCCACCGCAGTTCGGTAGCCACTGGGGATGCAAGGATGTGCAGGGAACAGGCCAGTTGAGGTTGTGAGTCATCGACAATGACCAATAGGGACTTGGCAAGTCTGTCGTGTGACCTGCCAGTGGTAAGGGATGGTGGCACAAGTTGCAGACCGACATGCTTCTGGCCCACGATCGGCGGTGTAGAGAGAATCCTTGTGACCCCCTGCCTCAACTCCTTGCCTGAAAAGAGAAATTCCCACATTCTTTCGACAGAGGGCGCAGGGAGAGAGTCCTTGTGGACCCCTTGCCCTCAACTCCTTGACTCAAGAGAGAAATTCCCACTTCTGTTGACAGGGCGTAGGGAGAGTCTTTGTGAGCCCTTGCCTCAAGATGAAATTTCCCGCATTCTTTCGACAAAGGGCGCAGGGAGAGAGTCCCTGTGACTCCTTGCCTCAAGGTTGAACTTCCCTCTTCTTCCGTAGGGTGTATGGCCACCACCGGCACGTTGGTGGTTCTTTAATAACTCCCTCTTTTTACCCTGCCCCCTTTTTTCCCTTTCTCCCTCTCTCTCTATCCTCTCTCTCTGTTTCTCCCTCCCTCTCTGTGTCGTTCCACCACACTCGGTACTTCAAACCTCCAATCACTCCCACTTTCCCCCCTCCTCGGCCCTTTGACATGGCATCTGTTCCGACGGACCAGACAGCTGTCCCCACGGACCAAAAGGCAGAGTCCTCCACCTCGTCCAACGATACACCCATCCTCCCCCTTGCAGAATGGCTTCCGGGTGTCACGGTTGCCACCTACAAGGCAGCAAAACCCGGCGGTGCCTCTGACCCGGTGCCGATGGTGAACTTCTACGTGGCAGACGATGGAAAACTGCGTACGACGACCCTGGACGCCGATTTGACCAGCACCTTGTCAAGACACGCCTGTCAACCGTCATTCGATCCGAAAGACTCGTCCGAGTGGCCGTGGAACCCGATGAACGGGTTGGAATTGGCGTTTATGGTGTCGCTCTTGCTCAAGGGGAGGTTCGACGACGAATACCCGGGCCTGAAGGAGCTGGTCGGCAGACTCGGCGATTTGGAATTGGAGCGACTGGCCGGTCTCGGAGAGTTGAAGCCAGAATTGTCGTCGACGGTGTATTTCCTGAATGTGCTTCTGGGAGTCGGACGCGGGGAGCTCGAGTACATCGGTAGGCTGGTGTACAACGAGTGGAGTGAGTTCGTTGGTACGGTGCCGGGTCAGGTGCGCCACGTCAAAATGCGGGCTATGGGTTCAAAATTGGGGGCGATCCTGGGTCTGGATTACTGGTATTGGCATAAGAAAACCGTCTTCGGCGGTACAGAGGCGCAGATTTCTTTTCGTGGGCTGAATCAACATGTCCGTTTTCAAAGTCCAAAGAATGGCAGACAATGCGGTCTTGTATCCGAGTTGGAAGAGACTTGGGACGACGTGTTTGATCGACTGGAGGCACTCCTGAGAGCGGGAAGCCAGCAGGAATCCTCGGAGGGATCGAGTGCCTGAGGCGCGCGGCCCGCGACTCCAAGACATGGGGTCCTAGCTGGGGGTTGGCCGTTACTCTCGCTCATGCTCGGCCGGAACGTGAACGTCGATGTGGTCGACAATTGACAGAAGCGGAGGAAAGACTGTTGGACCTGTGTGTGTGTGTGAAGCGAAGCTTCTTGCGGAGGCTGTGAGGAACAGGTGGGCGAAGAGTCATCATGGGTAGACAGTGGAACGTACTCCGACGAATCTCGTCCGAAGACAGCAATAGTTACTGGAATCTTCCGTTTGCGAATCCCCCGGGGTCAGCTCATCCGTGACACTTGTAGAGTCATCCCGTGGGCGCGTTCGTAGAGGGTCGATACGCGAAGGTTGGTAGGATCGTGTCGGACTTTAGTGATGGTCGTCGACGGAGGGAGAGACTGTCGGGGTGATGTAGTCTCTCTCTGGGTGTCCCTCTGGGTGTCCCTCTGGGTGTCCCCCTGGGTGTCCCTCTGGGCGGATCTTTCTGTGGCTTATTGGCCTTTGCCTTCTTAACGGCTGGGGTCGAAATAGGCGGCATCGTCCGTGATAGGAGAACAAGTGTCCTTATCCTCTCCCGTCCACCAATCTGCCGGTAAAGGGGGAACCTTAATGGTTATGTTGTGTTGGCTTGCCTCTCGACTCCTCTCGCTGGTGGTCGAATACCGGTCTCGAGGAGGTCAAGGTTCTTTGCTTCTCTCGAGGAGGTCAGGGTTCTTTACTTTCCTCGAGGCAGAAGTCCACGATCGCCTCTGAGATTCTGCCGGCCCTTCTTTCTATTTGCCCGTTGCCGGAGACTGAGGGATGGATAGCGACTGCTCGAAATCTTCGTCGTCGTAAACAGTCATGCCTTGCTCTCGTGGAACTTTGTTTTCTGGGGACGAGCTGTCTGTCGCTTTTTATCTTTCCAGCTCTTCCAATGCTCATCTTATGCAATCTTTTTTTCCGTTTGGCATCTATTGCGCGCGTGTATCTGTCCGAGAATCCCATGGCACTCTTAACCGACAGACAGGCTGTCTTCTCAGTTCAAAGGCCCTTTCCGCTTCTAGGAGGACATCTCGGTGGCAACGTATGTTGGTGATGGCGTGCTCGTGGTCGAGGAGTCTCGGGGGAAGGTCAGCCCCTACGATCTTGGGTCGTCTTTGGAGGGTGACGGTGGACTGCGTCTCCGAGACAGAACCTGTTTGTGAAATTGTCAAACAACAGTTATCGAGATGCAGGGGGAATCAGCTCTTTGAAGCTGGACTCACACCTTTCCCTTGGAGTATTCGACTGCAACAAATCTCGTAGATGAACCGTTTGGAGATGTCAATAATCTCGGTTGGGGTCTCGTCACCGATGAAATCCCTCACTCTCTTCTCTGGAGGTATTCCTCCTTGGAGTGTGACACCTGAGGTTCCTTGATCGGACGTGCGCCTTCAGTAGAGTAGTACTGAACGCTCACCCTGCCCGGCCGCGCCGCCTGCTGAATGGCACGATCGATCATCCCAAACAATGATCCCTCCGCATCCCGCCGTAGGCGTTACCTTATCCACCTCATCTCCGTCGTTCCTCTGCCACATAATAACCTCCATGCAAGCGAGTGCTTTCGTTGCACTGCATTAGAATCCGAAATCCATAGGATCAAAAGTCTTTGTTCTCCTCGAATCCAGTTGTCCGGTCGCATGAAACACCCGGACCGACCGGCAGTGCCAGTGGTAGACACAGCTGTTCCCATCTCAAAAGATCCGTCCGACGGCCCATGGTGATCATGTTTGATCATGGCCGTCAAGTCCCTCCACTCGGGTGATCTTTGGGGGTTCGGTTCACTTTCGCGACCCTGAGCCTTAGCCTTCAATACAGCGTGAGGTCTTTGGGTATAATGGCCACCAAGCTGTCGTTTCATAGGCCGTGACGTGTGATTGACGAAGCCACCTCTCTCTTTTTGGCCGGAGTTGCGTCCTATGCTTCGGAACATGCCAGGCACCCAGGGGGGACAGAATTCTGTCCCATTCGTAGGATATTTCCCCGGATTTCCTGCCTCACTGGGGACGGAATTCTGACGGGGCTGGGTCTGCCCGAGGCCGAGCAGCCCGACAATGCGGCGTTGACCGCGACCGGCCGACCCGTCGAACCCAGCGAGACCTCCAACTTCACCGTGGCGTACGGCCAGTCCAAGTCTGCCGACGTGCTGTTCGCCCTCGGCCTCACCGCGGGACTGTACGAGAAACACGGCATTCTGAGCTTGGCCCTGCACCCGGGCGCTATCATGACCGAACTCAGCCCGACACTACGGGCCCGAGACGCTCGCGGCCATCGTCGAGAAATTCAAGTCCGAGTTCAAGAGCGTCGACCAGGGCAGCGCCACGTCCCTGCTCGCGGGGCTGGACGACAACCCCGGCCCAGCCAACCTCAAGTGCCGTAGTGCTAGTGTCTTCGCACGCGGTTCTCTCGACGTTCTCTCGAGGCTCGAGGTTTGGTATCGTGCCACCTGCCCTCTCTCGGCGACGCTGAACGATACCCGGTGAATGTCGGCGAAATGGTGGAAGAGTTGTTGATCCACGTTGTCTGTCGCGTCGATCGAACTTCTTCCAGTCCCCCCAAGGTCCGCAGAGCTACCCAACACGGCAGGAGACCAAACAACGATCGGCTCCATCTGGGCACATACATTTAGCTTCGCCCGAATCATCCCTGCTCTCTGCAGGCTTCATTCCAAAGTTCGAAACAGTAACACCCCTTCATAATGACAGCGGTAGATAATACGGATCGTGATTTCCGACGCTGTAAGTATAATGACTGGCCGTAGCGGTATCGCGGCCGATGATACCAGTACTCGTGCGGTATTTACCGTGTCAGGTATCTCGAAGAGCCTCGACTCACAGGAAATATAGATGGGAAAGTCATCAAGTCCAGATCCAGACATAAGACCAGGAAGTAAGTCCCTTGGTAAATGAAACAAGAAGTTTCGTTTCCGGGAGTGAAGACTTCGGTAAAGATGCGGCAAGTATAAATGTCGGCGTTGATCGGGGCACCATTATTCCAGGGAGAGCTCGCATTGGGCCTGGGCCTTTTGGAAACGACACATCGCGAAGCCACCGCAGTATGGAGCGGTTACAAAGCCATCAACGCGACGGAGGAATGGATCGTCTGGCAGCGTGGATGGCGGTGATGCCACTGCTTATGTTCGCGAAGGCCCAGGTGGTAAAGGACATGCCTTTTCCGTTTGGTTACGATGGTGGACTGGCGAAACCGATCTTCGGGGTCAGCACCTTCGTCACCGAGACATTCGGGACAGAAGCCTGGCACGAGGGAATCCAGTAGATATCCCTTCAACCTCTCTTTTAGTGATTTCTCCAGTAGAGAAAGCTCGTCAATAACTGCTCTTCCCTTTGACCACATCCCTCGCGCCGCCTTTCTTGCCAAACATGTCCCTGATGTCCCGTAACAGGTGCTCCGGTCGCTCGTAGGCCGAAAGAGGCTGTGGCAAAAGCTGCGGTGAAAATGGACGATGTGACACTTCAGTGGCGGCAGACCTAGCCCTCCATTGGGTCGTAGGTGTTCAGTGGCGTGCCGTCTCGAGGACTCCAGAGTGTTAAACCATTGAAGATACACGAAATAGAATTCGAGGAAACGGCCATCTTTAGTGGCTGTGGCCTCTCGACAGCAGTAGATATGCGTCCACCATGTTGCCGAGTTGTGCCTGTTGTCCTCAAAGTGAGCAGGGTTGGATATGATCACGGTCAACCCGCCACGTACCCCCTGCGTGGTTGATAGTAACCGTCGCGTTCGTCAAAAGAGCTGTTGAGCCCTTGGCAGTGCGTCTTTGACGTCTTCCCTTGAAGGAGCCGCGCTGGACAAGTCTGAGAGGATGTTGCCGGCACATCGGACAGAGGCAGACGGGAATTAGCACGAGGGCACCCAAGCGCTGCCGATACATAGGCCGATGGCAATTTCGATTTGGCGATATATCTCTTCCAGCTGGTGTCCCTTACCCCGGAGAATGGTGGAGAAGGAGGTGCGTGTCTGGTCTGAAATACATGGCTGCTTTCAGCTGCTCATGTGGCTCAAGCTGAACGAAGACCATGGCCGTCCTACAATGTCGCTCGTCGGACCAAGTCGTCCATGATCATCAAGCCAACCTCGTCACGGAGACGAGACTCCCTTCTTCAAACAGGTTCTCGGCCAGCCGGTGGCGCTCGGGCATCAGGTTCCCAGTGTGTACAGAGTCCGATTCGTATGGGAAGTCGTCCGATGTCCATGGCTCTCTGCCGGTGAGGAGGTTCAGTGCTCCTAGACGGCGTGATCTCGCGCCCGACGTCTCTGATCGTAGAGCTTCTATCGCTCCTTCATGTCCAATCCGTCGATCGACGAAGCCGCCGTATGATCAGACGCGGCCGGCGCCGACTCTTCTCTTCAAGCTGCCGTATCGTTGGTGTTCCGGCAGCGCCGGCCGGTAATTTCATAGTCTGCCATTGTCTCGACCTTTTCACACAATGTCCCCCTCTTGCAGCCGCAGTCTCTGACCGATTTCGTGTCGTATGTGCATTGTTCACGTTGGTGAGACACCTGAAGTCAATTCGACGGTGGTGGTCTGATGAATTGTCGGATCGGGAGGGAACGTGGAGGTGACTATGGCGAGAGGATGCTGGAAGTGACCGTGACGTACGATTCTCTCTCTCTGTGTCTCTCTGTCTCTCTGTCTCTTTCTGTCTCTCTGTCTCTTTCTGTCTCTCTGTCTCTTTCTGTCTCTCTGTCTCTTTCTGTCTCTCTGTCTCTTTCTGTCTCTCTGTCTCTATCCGCATATTCTGGCCTTCAAGCTCGAGAAATGGCGCTTGGCCATCGACCGTGCTGATGCGAAGCTGGTAGGCCGTAGGGTATGTGCCCTGATTTCGATGGGCGCCGAACCGCATGCGTTTATTGATAGAATATCCGGAGTCTGGTCTCTCAGCCTCGAGGATTTTGCGTGACAGATGCAATGATTGCACTTACTATCCACCTTCAATAGGGCCTCTCGACGGGAAGCATGAAATGTGAGGCTCTCCCGGAAGCATGTCCGATGGCCTAGATCCGCGAGACCGTGGCTGGCGAGAGAGGAAGAGGTCCGCCTGTCATCGACCGACCCGTCTGCGTAGTAACGGGGACAAATTGGCATATCCAGACCGTAGTCTTTGCGGTCGAGAAGACGATGATCGCGCCCCTGGGGCTTGCTCATGGAGTAAATGTCGGTCGATGCTTTGTAGTGTCGGAGCGCACGAGAAAGGACAGCACGCTCGTTGTAGTAGAACGGCTGGTTGACCAATTCGTAGAGTAAATAGGAGAGCGTCAACCACGTCGACCCTGCCTGACACTCGGACTCAAACCCTGGGTCCGACAAAGTCACCAACGAGACGTTTTCTCCTGGGATCGAACTCTGCCCTACCTGGCCAGACAAGGCGGAAATCTATTTCAGACAACAAGAAGGTAGGTAGGTGGTCATCAGTTGGGTGCTTTTTCTTTTCCCTCAAGGCTCGAGGCTGCTGACTGTATTTCGTGTCGACGTAGACCGTGATAGTCTCCTCCTCCACCTTGCCAGTGACTGAGCTGTCGACCAAACAGGAAGAAGAGCGGGTGAAAATAACAGGAGGGACGAGTGGATCGACGCGGCACGAACTTGCCAAGTAGTGTTGATCTACAGCCGTTGACCTTGGGAGTGGAAGGTTCGAAGGCTGCAGAGTCGAGATGCTGAACATGTTCGGGGCCTGGAACCGTCAATGTCGAGAGCCCTCCCCCTCTCCCCCGGACCGTGACCCGTACGTCTGAGAACCGAATGTTAGCAGCGCTGCTGACTGGCACTGGCTTCGGCCTGGAATCCAAGTGTGGCCTTTATCCACTTAGTCATTGTAATGGTGATGCGAGACTGTAACATCATTCTGAGCTGAAGTCCATTCGCAGTCCATTGCCCTCGCAGAGTTCAGCTGAGCTGAGGTTCGTGGTCTCCCCTGTATAGCAGCCACGTACCGTTCTTGAGGCAGATCTTGAAGGCCCTTCTTCGCCTTATCTCCCCCCCGGCGTAGTTCCATGCGATCAAATACACGGTCTCGGTTGCCCACAGCACAACCGTATATACCCTCGAGCAGGCTCATACTGATACTGGGATCGGTCCAAAATGCTCGCAACAAGTCGACGTATTGCTTTGTGGGCCTGCTCAGCGGTAAACATGCCATCGGCGTAGATCAAGCACGATCTGTGGCTGTGCCGTCATCCGGACCTGAGCGAACCGTAATCTCCTGAATAACACACCCAACTGGTTTCGTCAATATACTGGCTGGCGAAGGGGTCAGTCGCCGACTCGGAAACGGAGATTCTTTTCGAATTCGCCGGTGCGTCCAACGTCCAGACGTGCCACAGTGCAGGCCAGTTGCAGAAAGTGCAATCCCGACCGGTCAAGCTCGTGGTAGTAGTGGTCACGCCAATCATTCTGCCGTATTTGACGGGACACGGCCTCGAAGTCAGGAAGGGTGTAGTCCTTGACCGGTCTCGGCTCTTTCGATAGATCGAGGATGTGGAGGGAGACTGTCGAGGGCGATGTGGTCGGCCTCTGGGTCACCCTCTTGCTGTAGTAGGCGTGAGAATGTCAGATGTCAGCTTCCTGTGGCCTGGAGAGGGTGGACCGTATATTCAAAACATCCAAAGCCGGAAGTGATCCCCTGTTTTCCCTTTGCCGGGCGGTCATGAATTCTTTCCAGAACGTTTCTGCCGTGGAATCCTTGATGTGACGCTGCTGGTGGATTCGACCCTTTTCCTTTTCGTCCTCTCGCATGAAAGAGGAGGAAATCCTTGACCGTCTTCGCCTGTCTGAAAGGGACGAGGTGTGCAACCGGGGAACCGTGTCGTGTCGTGTTCAACGAAACCGTGCGAGCCTTGAAGCATGATTTGTCCCACCCCCCGTGTAGACGAACATATTCTCTCTCTTTCTCTCTCTCTTCCTGTCTTCCTGTCTTCCCGAGAGACGAAGATCTCGATGCCGATGCCCGTCAGCTGATATAGAACATCAGACATCGTCCCGGGCCCGAACTCAACCCATTCTTGCTTCTCTCACCAGAGCATTCGCGTCGAACATTTCCTTGGTGACTCGTTCTCCCAGGGATTCAGCCTCTGTATTGTAAATTGTTGGTCCTTTGTTCACGAAGAGTGCAACAATGCCTTCCACAATGCTGTTAGTACTCTTTCAATTCAACTTCTTCTTCGGCCAGATCCCTGATCCACGCTAGGATCGAGCTCGCTTCCTTTCTTGGGCCTCGTTCAATCACCGGAATAGTGACCGGGTTGATCACAATCGTAGCAAATCAGGCTTGAAAAAAGATCTTGCAGGAGTTGTCTTTCCAGCCAATCTTGCCGCAGCCGGACCTCGGGAGCTCGGCAGCGATAGCGTGTCAGGAGATGCGTCTTGACCGACGATATGAGGTTTCTGGGACGACGTCGTCATCCCGACTATATGATCAATGAATTTGGTCTCCTGACACTTGCTCTGGTTCGTGGACGATTGTTGTACTCTTTTGCCCAGAGATTCCTCGAATCGGATTGAAATTTCCTTGAAAGCATCGCGAAGAAGGTCCAGAGTATATGTACATGACTTTGATGATTCAGACAATGAATCGGTAAGATCTTTCGACAACCGTTATCGTATAGCCTTCTCCATGCTCCCCTTCAAACCTTCAGATGTCCTCATCGCCAACTGGGAACTCCAGAGATGTTTGTACAGGCCGCCGTGGGGGAGACTGCAAAAGACTGCGAAAAATCAATGATCAGATAGATATCTGTCATTGATCGACGACATGCAAAAGGCCAATCTCCCAAGCGCCAAGATCGGAACGGGCAACTCTGCTATTCACCTGGCTGGCAGGTCTTTCTCAAAGGTGTGACGGAGTCGGAACTGAATGCTGCACTGCGACGTCACGATAACAGGGAATCCCAGATGCCTTTGTCACCATCTGTGGCGACCTGGTTCAAGATTTGGTATGAGTCTGGTGCCCTCACATTTTGTTCTCTCCATCACCCTTTAGGAACTTGAGAGTTTGCTGGCTGGATGTAATTGCTTCGTGAGACGAGAGACGAGCGAAGCATCTGACATGGAGGTAGTACCGGGCTTGAACCGCTTCATTGCCTCGGAGACAGCCAGCAGAGCCATCACGGATGCCTTCTGATATATTCCGGTCGAAGATGATAAAGGCATAAAGATCCCACGAGCATTGTGATATATCCGCCGGGGAGACCATATGGCTGAAGCTTCAGCTTGTTTGAGACGCTGCCAGACCACTGTCGAATGATTTCGTGTAGGGCCTTGTATTTCCGGGCAAGCAAGAGTCACCTTCCCGTGATGGATCGAAGAAAGCGACAATTCGTTTGATACTAACCACAAGCGACCACCACAGCTTTTCGGTCAGCAGCAGAGGACTGACCAGTTTGTTTTCTTCAGCACCAGGAGTCGAGAAATGCATGGATGAACGTTACACGACGAGTTTCATAGGTCACTCACTAGATGACTCGTCGTCTGATGGGTCGGTCGAGTTCTGACATAGATGCGGGAGATCCACCTCTGGAAGCCAGGACAAAGTCTGGAGCGGCGCCCGCTGGGAGTTTTTGAAGACGAAGAGATGGGAACAACGGTGGCTCCAAGCGAAGAAGATGAGAGCAATGGTTCTAACGAAGAGGTGTTGTGTCCGTTAGAGAGAGAAAAGTTTGGAAAACGCTCATGGAATGAATGATGATCCCGACGAGTAGGCCTCGGAGCTCCCGGGACAAGCGGACCATGATGATGACGAAGACGATGAGTTTCATTTGGTTGAGATTGCGATCCCTGCCACTTCGAAGCGGAGATTGCGAGGTTGATGTGCCTTCTCCTTTGAGCTTTTTGCCGTCTCCGGCCCCTCTCTGTAAAGAACTCGGTGTACCGAAATGCAAAGAGAAACGAAACCAAGGAGAAGCAACACCCAGGAGAAGCAACACCCAGGAGAAGCAAAACCAACCAACCCTTTCATCGATTGCCGGGTTCGTTCTCGGCACTTCCACCCAAGGATGTCCATCCATTTTATCTTCTTGCCCAAGCCGTGATCATTTTGCAAAACGCCATGCACAACTCCATGGCAAATAGTCTCCGGAGGCAGCTTTTGTTTGGACAGAAGCTGTAGCCGTGTGTGTAGCCGGGGTGGGAATCCATTCACGACGCGGACAAACATGGTCAGACCATGGGAGAGTGGCAATGTCTCTCTACCTGATTGGTCGCCCCAAGCCCCTTTTCCAGAGAAGGAGAGTCTCTAGAGAGGGAGAGTCTCCAGAGAAGGAGAGGACTAGTGGCTGGCCCTCCTCTTTTTGTCAAATTGCTCCGTTTCGAGGGGAATCGATCGCGCAGTGAGCCCTCCCTGCCTCTCTGACAAGGATCGCAGTCGCACGCATTCTCAAGTTTCCGCCGTGGTTCGAGATGCTCCACTAGTAAGTACCTCGCGAGTATCTCGCCTGCTCGCTCGAGAGTATGTGAGTTGAGTGACTGACGTCGAGAAAGGGCATCATCATCATCGTCGAGATCGGGTAAATGCTTCGAGGACATCCGTCATCGGCAAGGATTAATAGATGACGGTCTGCAACAGATCATCGGGCGACTTTTTCCTTTCAAAAGCTCGAGGGTATCAGTGGCAGAGACTTCGCAAGCTCTTGCAACGTTAGAGGTGATCGAGATGAGATCTCTGTAATACCGTCACTGGCAAAGGTGTCGGTCGATAGCTCGGACAACAGGGCTCATCCAAAGAGTCAAGCAAGCGGCGGTAATATAATGGATTATAGTTTGTCCACTAAATGCCGGCAATCAGAGTCAGATATGAGAGAGGCTGCGGAATAGAAGATACGGACACTTACTTACCTCTTGCGGAAGGGAAGGCGGCCCATGGGATCATGATTCCGTTGACTCGAGCTCGACTCATATATAGTTTCGCGGTCGGGTTTCGTGGACACTCGGAACAGTGAGCGAGAAGTTGCCTGATATAAAGTACCGAGTACTGGCCTGTTTGGCCTCCAGAATGATAAGGAATGTCTTGTAGGCATCTCGTTGCTTCTTTTGACAGTCTTTCCGAAGGATATTGGCTGGGTGGATGAATGGAAAAGCCATCGAATACACTCGTGGTCGCAAGACGACCTCCCGAATCGCTCACAAAGGGCTATAGACTTCCTCCAGATAAGCCAGCGTAGAACATTCGTCCTTGACCCACTGAAAGTCTGCATTGTAGACCTGTGTCTTGGCTGGTTGTAACAGCGGAATGACAAGAATACCTTGCATGTCTGGTCTGGTAAGCCATGCGGCGAAGCCCGCCTCGTTCTGGGAAGGATAGGTCCCGTTATCACGGACCATGATGGCACCAAAGCTCTCAATAATGTCTGCATCTTTTCCGATCTGCTGAGAATGTTTGTCTTTGGCGCTGGGAAGATATTGCTTGAGACGGTGGTCGATGGGAACCTCGTTGCACAAGTTTTTATCATTTGATGAGGCCTTAGCTCGAGTAGAAGTATATTCGCAACGGTAGAGTTGCACGAGAACGTCCAGGGTGACGTTTTGATTATATCTATGCCAGCAGCAAGGCATATTTCTGAGTCGATGAATCTGACGAGCTCTCTGTCGCTGCCCCTGGGTACGCGGTCAGACTGTGCCATTTGGAATCGTCGAATCTCATGCATCATGGCCCAATAATAATGGCTGTGGCGTGGGCCATGAAACATGACCGTTCGAACCCCTTTGTCCTGGGATCACGGAGGAGTTTTTCTCAGCTTTGCTCGACGACTCATATGTGGCTTGCAGAATCAAACCTGACTTCCAGTGAGTTCACCCAAGAATCGGTCCGTCAGCTTGGCACCGCACCGACGCCTTGAGCTCATGACCAGTTTCCCTGGTAGGTAAAAGCCATGAGTTCACACTGGAGACGGACGGCGAGGGGATAGTCCGAAATGAAGATGCCAGATGCCAGGCCAAGGAGTCCATTTTCCCGGGGACATGGGAGCGTAAGGTAACAGCCAAAAGCAACTCTGCCTTCCGTGATTGCTCGGTACACAGATAGCTTTGCCCATCACCACCTGGATGGGTGTGTTGCAGACTTCCAGCAGAGTAACCAGGTTTCCTGCCCTATAGCCTCCCCTCATCGCTCGTGTTCTTTCAGAAGTTCTGTCATTCCTTGTTTCTAATCCTGGGGTAATCTTGTTGCCATCAAAAGGCAAGCGATGCCCAGGGTCCGCTGCGTTTTGACACTCACGCCACTCGTTAAACGACACCTTTTTGATTAGATAGAGCATTCCAGGTTGACCATACCATACACTCAGATAACTGGCCTCATCAACTTCCAAAAAAGCATCAGCTGTCCGCGATGCTGTCACAGCTGACCAAGGGGAACCATAGCCGTGCCAGAAGAAGGTATTGCCGGCCGTTACAACGAAGGAGAAACTAACCCGTGCCAGGGGGTAGTGAGTGGATCATGTCGACGTGTGTTGACAACGTCGACGTTGTCCAAGCTGAGTAGACTCACGTTGACGGAACCGTCGACCTTGTCGACAAAGCGGGCCATCCGATGGGTGGTGATTTGAATGAAATGCCCTCCCCCCAGGCTATTTCCGCAGCTGGCAATTCATTGGCATGGAGTGGCGTCAACGCCGTGCCTGTTGGTCCGTTGAAGGCCGCCAGATCACAGGGTATCTGCGCTCAAAGACCTCCGCATCTGGACAGAATCCTAGTGTTTGACTGGCTGTAATCCAGGCTGCTCGGACCTCACGAAATCGAGGCTCCATTTGGACAGGATCCTGGCGCCGTTGGGCTCAATGATGATGGCTCATTGCGTAGTCAGAATTTCTCGTACTGTCTAGAGGTGTTTTGCCGGAGCCATTGAGTATACTCCTCTCGGCTTTGTTACTCCTTTCGGCTTTGTTAATATACTCCTTTCAGCTTTGTGGAATGTCTTCTTCTTTCTGACATTGTTGATCTTCCAGCAAAGGTCAACCTTGACCCGATCTTCGCCTGGAGGTTCGTTGTCGAGGTCTGCGCCGGCGAGGCCCTCAATCAGCGCCAGCAGCGATCCGCCGTTCGGCCGAGTGTTTCGCGGCGTCTTCTGCCGTTGCAAAGGGCCCCCGGCGACATGCACCGCGTCCTCCCAGATGGAACAGAGGCAACGGCCGCAATGGTAACGGCGTTGGCGACGGTGCCGCTGCTGTTGCTGCTGCTTCGGTTCTGGCCAACGACAACGTCCAAACACGAACGCATGTCTTTGTCCCGCTGGAAGACTCCACCATCAAAGGCAGGTCTGGTCTATGCACAGGCGGGCGCCTTTCCATCACCCCAAAGAAGAAGGTAGGCACAATCAATGCGTCTCGTTCTTCGACAAACCAGCCAAAGGCCATGAGGCCGATAGTCGTGCTGATGGGCATCTTGTATTTGATTTTCTTGTCTAGATTTGACCATACGCCTTTGCCTAGGAGTTCGAAGTCATCATGGTGATGATAGTGACGCGGCACATCTTGATGGAGATCAGCTCTGTAGCCGGCATAGGTGAATGAACTTGTGGTTTAGCCTTGTGCAGACATTCGAAGACGGTCCGTTTTAGAACGGTATGTCCCGACCTTTAATTTTCGTGGTAAATCTGGGTGGATGTGGTCGGTTCGAGCGTCTGAGAAAGGAGGAGAAGAGAAGCGAGTGAGAAGAGAAGCGAATAAGAGGAGGCGATGGTGGCCTATTATTAGCGAGACGTGGAACCTTTGGGGGAGAGGGGGGACAGATGGTTGGGAAACGCCCGACGGCTTCTCGTTGTTCATGATGAAACAGTATCTCTCCATCTATCACAAAGAGAGCCAAAGACGGCGATGCTTAGACTCTCTTTTGTGTCTTTCAAAACATGAGGGTTCAGCCTGGTGATGAATCTGTAGCAGTTACCGGACAGTTGCCGGACGGCACGGAGATCCTGTCACGAACACCCACGTGACACTGGACACTCGGCTTAGGCCACCAGCCAAGTAGCTTGCTTACCGCATGTATATAGCAAGAGGGGTCACACCTGTCAACCTTGAAGCCTTCTTCAAGCGTTGACATCTCTATCTATAGGCTAGTTATCTATCATTATTGATCCCATAGTACACACATTCACCCTCCAGTTAGGTAACGGGCCTGATAGATCCCACCAGGGCCAATATCTGCAAATATCGCCAACAATATTGCTTTGATCCACGGACCTTAGACCTGCCGTATTCATATTGTAGGGCATATTTCAGGATCTCGGGACAGCGGTCTCGTCTAGCCTTGTCGGCGTGGCTCTGCAGGGCCAGGTAGGGGCTGGCCACTCTGGTTCGGGATTCAGGCGGCTGGGCTTCGGTATCGCCTGCAGTCCTCCCGCATAGGTTGACACCATTTCAATGGCAGACAAACTCGTCGGTAGCTGTTTACGTTCCGACCGCGCACTTGTACATCCTTCGGCCCGTGTTGTCGTTATCAACAGGTAGACGTTTCTGACCGTCATCCTCACCGGGACGCCGACGAGCAGACGATCGTGAACATGACCATCGTCGCGCACGGCAGCGTGAAGATGGACGGGCTGTGCAACGAGCAGTGTGGCGGGCACGCGAACTACGCCTTGTCTGAGAAGGTGACCACGTATCCGATCGAGATTGTGAGGAGGGCCTTGTACTCGATCGCCCTCGACGTGTCGGTCAAGAAGGCGCAGAGGCTGGTGTTCGATTCCATGACCACGTCGGTGTACTGTGATGGACACGTCGATCCAAGGTACAGCCTATAGCAGAATCGGAGTGAAGGGAAGAAATTGCGCCTGGAAAGGACATGCTCGGTGTCACTGATTGTTGCTTGTCATCATTTTCCATGAGATCAAGGATGGAACTCGCCTCTTTGACTGGTAAGAAAAGCCTCGATTTATCGTCGATGTTCTGCGGTATAGATCGCCTCACCCCGGAAATCGTTGTGCATCTGCTTGTAGCGTATGCCTTGGTCGTTGACGGAAGAATCTTCACTGAGATTGAAGCCGTGCGTCTCGCCGGTAATGGTCTTGAGAAAGGTAGAACACGCGGAGCCAGAGGGTCCACGGACGACGAGCATTTCGCCCGGCTGCACCACGCCTTCGAAATTCCGTAGAATATCGAGACCGGACTGATTTCTTCTGGTTTGGCTCGCATTGTAGTAAATCGGACGGTCAACGCGGCGCCGTGTCCAACAGTCAGAACCTTTCCGAGTTCTTTCTTGGAAATCTGGTGACAGCAAGGATTGGAACGCGACCAGAGGAGACCGGTCCCTATAGGTTTGCTCTACCGTCATTTGGACGGGACTCTGCTGATAGATCCAGGTGTATGCGTCAGCGGAGGCCCCGACTCTATGGCGTTGGCATCCTTGCTCAATGAGATCAACACAGTGCCTGGAAAGCACAATGTTTCCGTCCAACCATTGCGTCAACCTCTGTTGCCCAAGAGACCTTGCGCCATATCCATCAGGGCCTGGGGAGCGGTCGACTTCTGACAGTCACTGACCTTGGTGTAGCCACAGGCCGAGAGGTGGCGAAAGGCGAAACCAGCGGATCGGCCGACATTCTCCTGGCCTGCCAGCCTCTGGAACCCTCAACAAGACCTTGGCGAACTCTCACTCGCGGTCGAGAAATCTCTGGAGCATTGTCAACTCGAAGACGGTTTGGTGGTTGCTGGGAGGCCGCCAGGTCATCACCCTGCTGACTTGTCTCGGACAACAGAGGTCCTGCAAAGGGCGATATCGAGGCGCTTGAGATCCGATCGAAAGAGACTGAGAGAGTGCTGTGGCGAATCAATATTCTCTGCTTGCCAACAAGAAATCTTGACGGCAGCCTTCTCTCATTTCACAAGCAGAAGGTAAGCGAGCAGCCAAACCCCCGCTTCCGGCCGCCTTTGTATCACCTTCCTGCCGCTGTAGTGGTAAAGGGGGAGGTCGATGGAGTTGAGTGCCACCTCGCAACCACACGGTCCTCGCTCTACTCCGACAGTTAGCCTTGTTCACTTCTCCCCCGAACTGAGCCCAGCCATCCTTGCAACCCGGCATTGAAGTGAATCCAGGGCAGCCAGAGGTCAGTATCCCGGCGTCGATAGGGCACTCAGCCTCTGTTTGATCAGTCACGGCTTGCCCGGACGACCTCGGCCTTATATCGTTGTTCTCTTCACCACAGACGTGTTCATACCACCTTTTCATCAATCTCCGCGAACTGTAGATCTGACCAAATCCGCCCGAAGCGATGTCGAGTGCCCGGGAGAATAGCGTAGCTGAAGCCAACAAGATCTTTTACGACCAAGGCTTCCAGATCCGAACCGAAGTCGCTGGCCCGAACATGTCCAGCGTTCTCTTCGAAATAAATCTTCTGATTTTGCTCGGCCGATGCAAAACTTGTAGAGGCTAACATTGACTTGTAGAGCGTAAGACCAGAAGCTTGTCATTTCCATCTTGATTGATGCATATCTTGTCAGTCAGGACGGAGTGTGCAGGTAATCTTGGATACAGATTTCAAAGTTGATGGTCGGTCGGGAGGCGAGGACGTCTGGCGACATGGTGACACTCGGGGCTTGCTCCAGGGCGGGCCTGTAGCGACTAGACACTGTATCGTCGCCACGGAGGTACTGGGGACAAGACATTGCGATATACTCGTCCGAGCTATGGTGTTGCAGCTCATTGAGTCTGTACATTCGCTGAGGAGGAGAGGTTCAAGTCCAGTTGTCCGCATTGCCGCATCACCCTCTTTCGCTGCACCAGGCTGGCTCCGCCGTGAATTGAACTGCCCTCGAGTTCCATGACCCGACCCGAAGACCTGATACCTGACTAAGTATGACGCGGATGGTATAATATCTGTGATTCAGTCAGCGTGCAAAGCGTCAGACTGGCTGGGAAGTTTACGCACGGCCGGATGAAGTAGATCAGAGTAGACACTAGGCTCCTGAGGAGACCGCTCGGATTGTATTCCTCTTGCTGACACCTCCATCTCCGACTTGACGGCGTCGAGACAGTCGTGAGCTCGCGTTCATCTTCAAGCAGCCTGTGTGATTGTTTGTCGCGACCCTGCTCTTGGCATCCTGAATAACATGTCTCGCGAGTATAGGGACGATGACAGCGTGCGACCGCAGGGACAGCGACACCGCGGAATAGGATGAGGCCGTTGTCACCGTTCCGGCCGTAATGGGTCTGGACGGACGTCACCGAGGGTTCCGAGGACGACATCGGCGAAGGTTTTGGCTAGGTTGACGTCGCTCTCGAAGTCAGACACGGGCACCTCGCCTCGTACTTGCAGGGTTGAATGGGCTCGGAAACGGGACTGTGAGCACGGCTGATAACGAAGGATGAGGAGGGGGGTTGAGCGGGCGGTCTGCGCAGACTTCCCAGACTGCGCAGCGCACGCCGAGGCTGAAGCTCGGCCGCAGTTGAGCCAAGTCCAAGCGTCGTTACCTGAGGGGGGGTGTCTTCTGAAACCGCGTGATTGTCCAGCCAACTATCGTGGTGGAAATAGTCTCGTTTCTGGCATGGAGAGACGAACCCTTCAGCCTTCCGGATCGGAAAATACGTATAATAGCTGAAATGACAATATAGTATCGCAGTAGAATGCTTCGAGTACTCGGCAAAGGATGTTTACCATGCTTTCAACTGTTCCCTTTAGCTCTTTGGTCCTCTTTTTCGCTCAGAATATCTGTCTCTCCCTCTCACATACACACACTGTGCTGGGGGCACACGTCAGAAGTTCCAGAAGGAGAGCCCTGAGTGGTCCAGAGACGCACGGCTGCGAGGCTGAGGCTTGAAGCGTGGTGATGGTCCTGGGGTTGAGAAGCTCCACTGCCCTGTCAAGCACAGACCAATATCGGAGCCACTCGCCAGAGTATTCCCATGGGTATGGTGGCATCAATGGGTACGGTGGCACTTGGACCTTCTCCCATTCATCATTCATGCATTCCCCAAGTCATCATCCAGGCCTGATCCCGCACGATTGAGGGATTTGTGTAGTTCAAATCGCCGTGGCTGCCTTCATTGGAGGACGAAATGTGCCACCTTCATTTCGAGGGATTTTTGCGGTCACCGCTAGGTATATGGAAAAAGCTTTCTCCTGCGACTGACTGCCTTGGTCGCCCGCCCGCGGTCTGAGGATGATTGGGTGGTAATTAGATTGTTGTCTCTCGGTAGAGAGAGACTGTTCCCCTCGGAACAACCCGCGCTTGCTGGAGAAGATTGATCGCCTCGTAGTTCTTGGCTGCTTCGGTAAGTTTCATTTCGAAGCACGCAAGCAAATGCATGGATAGGGAAGCCTCTTCATGCTTGAACAACTCTTTTTTCCGTAGCTCCGGTGCAATTTTATGCCGCGAGCGACGAGGGCGGCGAGGCGCACAAACGCGGGCGTGGGGTGTTGTGTGGCCCTTGCTTGTCAAGGTCAGCTCTAGGGGGGAAGAGTGATCAAATAACAATTTTTTGAGCCTCTAGGGGCGCGCTTCTCTGGCGTGACCGCGGCGGACATGCGTGAGGCCGTGCGCGCGACGCTCTCTTCCGGCGACGAGGAGGAGGAGGAGGAGGAGACCACCGAAGAGTCGGGCCCGACACCATCGTCGTCGTGCACGGCGGCCACAACGACTTCTCGACCGGAGTTGGTGGCCATCATCATGGCACAAAGAACTCAATTGTACGCTGAACCAGCGTCGTTGTGCTTGATGCTGACGGGCATGTTCAAGCCGCGTCATCGACAGGTAGAAGATCCTCTGGGCTGGGATCGTCGGTCTCAAAGTTGCGATCACCACGCTCGCTATTGCTGTCGCTGGTGCTGTCCCTGGTGCTGCTTTTGCCGGTGCTGTCTCTTCCGCTGTGAATGTCGAGTATTGCTGTCGTTGGCGCTGTCGCTGGCGCTGCTTTCGCTATTGCTGGCTCGTCCGTTCGCCGACATGAATCTTGAACCTTCCCCTGCCGTTCGTGGGCGGCGAGACCCGGAATGGAAAGGAGCGGATCCGAGTCGTCGGTGTCACAATGATTCCTTCCTCGTCCGCAATCGGTGTCCTCGTGGTTTGAAATGTAGCTGTAGAGCTGTAGATAGAGCCCAATCTATGCCGAAGACGCGGTGTGCCACGAATAATGTAGTCCAACGTTTTCCTCCATGGATCAAAGGCCATTTGCCGGAGCTGCAGGGTTGATAGTGCTGCCAGTGCTGCCAAGGGGTCTGTCTTGATCTCGGACTTGAAAAGAATTGGATTCGCATCCCCGTTCGACGCCTTCCCTTCATCGTGCCACACACCGCTCTGACACCTTCTTGCCGCCGCTGCTCGTTGCTCGTTCCCGGCACTCTGGAGGAGACATGTGGTTGTTTGTCCAGGTTACGTAGCTGGTTTGGTTTGGTTTGGTCTGGTCTGGCTTCGGTAGGTAGGTAGATAGGTAGACAGGTCAGGGTTACCGTTCCGTCGGGGGAGGGTCGTCTTCGAGCTGCTCCAGAAGAGGCTGTTCTCTTTATGAGTAACTCCAAAGGTCGGTCGGCGGCCTCGTGTATTTGTATGTTTGTCTCGCGCGGCGGAACCTGTGTAGCAATGCCAGACGAAGCTGCATAGCTGCATACAAAGTGTTCCGCAAGTCAAAAAGGCAACACACATGCCGCCGTACCCAAAGCCGAACATGTCGAGCCGAGCATTCACACAGCATGACCGACGACTTCGGCCGGATCAGTTCGCATCGCGTCCTTTCCCGCGCATTGAAGATTGTGTGCGCACCTTTCAAGCTTCCAAACAAACTCGTTCGATCCGAGGTGCAGGGCAGAACCGGAGGGGAGGGGAGTAGTTCCTGGGCTGGAGTGTAAGCATCCCGCGATTGCCCGGAGAGACCAAAGCTTCGAAATGGTGAAGATTGCGCGGCCAGGAATGTATGTTTCCAACCTTGTCTTCAATGCCATGCCGGCCCTCGAGAAGTGTTGCAAGGACTCGAGCCCATTATCACCCTTTTTCTTCGGCGGGAGCAATCGTTCGGTTCGGGGGTCGTTCACCAGTTCGTTTTCAGCTGAACATTCGGGAGCGAGCAGGGCAGACAAACAAGTGAGGTAGGCCTAACGTGATCGAATCGAACCGAACTGGCACTGTGACTCCGTCCCGTCCCGTTCACAATCGAGGATGATATTGCCGCAGCCTTCGGACACGATTTCCGCTGTAATCTGCCAATCGAGCTGTCGTCTCCTTCTTTTCGATAGTTGATGTAATTCGCTTGTGGTGAGAGGGCACCGCTGTCCATCATTTCTGTCCAGAGTCCGTCCGGCATGGGTAGCCCGAGCAGCTAGCTCCCTTGTTTCTTCTCAGCAT